CCCCCTTCCCGCCCCCCCCATAGTGTGTCTCTGGTTTATAGTTGCTTGTTGATTTTGATTTTTACTTTGTATTGATTAGCCTTTTTCCTGGTCTCTTATTTAGGTTTTCTAAATTCCTGCTACGAGTGAGACCATCCGGGATTTTTCTTTTTTTTTTTCTGGCTATTTCGCTGAGCATGATCCCTTCTAGCTCCATCCATGTTGCTGCAAACTGCATGTGTTTATCTTTTTTGATTGCTGAGTAATATTCCATTGTGTATATGTACCACGTCTTCTTGATCCAGTCATCTATATTTTGGCATTTGGGTTGTTTCCTTAGCTTAGTTATTGTAAATAGTGCTGCTATAAACATAGGGGTGCAGGTGCTCTTTGGAATTAATGTTTCTGTGTCATTTGGGTAAATACCTAGGAGTAGAATTACTGGATCTTATGGAAGCTCTATTTTTAGTAGGTCAAGAAATCTCCAAACAGCTCTCCTTAGTGGTTGGACCAGTCAAAAGGGATTCTTGAAATGCTTTTTATTAGTGGTCAAATATCTAGGTGATGTGTCAATGAATGTGGAGGGAAGGAGAGATAGGGAAGGAGAAATGTAATAATGGGGTGGGAGGGAAGAAGCATGGGGAAAGAGGGGGAAGGAGGGAGTAGGAGAATAATGGGTGGGTCAGGAAATTTATTAACATTTATTATACCTCATTCTAGAACAATACACAAGAGTGTTTCTCAAAAATATGTGTTATCATGTTTAGTAGGCTGCCACACAGAAAAGATTTCTGAGAACCAAAAAAAAAAAAAAAAACAAAGTATGTTAAAATTCTGTAAGCAAAGAGTAGTTACTGTAGGATTACTTGGAGTCTCATATTTTGATCTCATCTACTTGGAGTCTCATGTTGACCTTATCTCTGGTAGATCCTGCATATAGTGTTACCCCAAATTATTTTGATGAGGGAATGAATATGCCCTTGGTCTTTTCATCAGAAAACAGGTCCTTTTAATTAGCAAAATACCTGGAATTACATTCTATACTTACCTATTCAGGTGCTTATCAACACCTGCCACAATAACCATGTGGCTTTTGTAATACCTTACATGACAACATGCTTCCAGTCACAAATACACCCAGCAAGTAGTGACTGGTAACTTGGAGAAGGCCATTCTCCCATGTGAAGTCTCCTTCATTGTCAATACCCTTGGCTCTGTAGACCACTGTCTTCCTGGCATGACCCAGAGTCACAGAAAGATATGACTGGAGTTGTGTATTTTATAATTAGGCAGATTGCCTTGGGTATCAGCCAAAAAAAGATCTAGGTCCTTCACAACCCAACCACAACACCATACTCAAATAAAGAAAAGAAAGAGGGCCACATTAGCTTCTATAAAGATTATAAATGCAATGCTAGGGAACAGTATTAGTACAAGCTAATAGGTAGCAATTATTAGTTTGCAAACACTAGTGTGTCAATAGAAGTAGTATTGTCTTAGTGGCTGTAGGATAGGCACCACTGCATATTGAAATATAAAGTATTATTGAGAACATCTGTTTATACTGAATTAACATAAAATAGAAGTCTATATCCCATTAGCCTGAATGGGAAAATAACAATACAGTCCCATTCAATTCAAAAACCTCAACCAGTTTTTTTAACCATTACTGAAACACTCTCAGAAATAGAATCTTGAAACAGTAATTCAAGGAATTATCCAATCAATACTATTTAAGTTTTCTACCTGATAGGCTGCTGTCATCCCCTGAAGGAAAATAACCTTACAATAATCAACCCACATTTTGGCTAGTATAACTTCCTTGCTCGTACCTCATTTTGCCTAACTGTCATTTCGTACAGCTCCTTGGAGGTCCTTTCTATCTACTTGATTGGATGCTGTCAGATTCATGAATCACCGATTAAAGTTGATAAGATCTTTGAAATATAGTCAGTTGATTTTTGCTTTTCACAACACTTTGGTATATATCCTTTCATAGTTGTTCTATGCATGCATGCAATGCTCATATTTTTCCTACATTGGGCTCAAACTATCAAACCAATTTGTAACCTAGTTTTCCTATAAAAAGACATTGTGGCAATGAATGTGCATTTACAACATTATTTTAAAAAGATTACATCATATTGTAGCATTCAATAGAGCTGATTTAATAAATTATCTAATATTGAATATTTAAATTGCTTCAAATTCTATGCCAATCAGACAACTGGAAGTAACCTAAATGTTATCAGTAAGGGAGTAATTAAATAAAATATATGAAGCTATTCAATGGAATACTAAGCAGTTTTTACGAAGCTTGATGTAGAATGCTAAGTGATGATATAGAGGAGTTCTAAGATATGTTATTAAGTAAAAAGAGATAACTGCAAAGTCACATGAGTATTTTATATATTATGGATAGATTATTGTACGTGCAAAGATTTTTCTGCATGGATATCAGATATAAAAATCACAAAACTGTCAGAATGCTTTTATTTTGGTAGCTTGGGGCTAGAAATGGACAGGAAGAGGAAAAGATTGACTTGTTTTTTTAAGATTTATCCATTTATGCATACAAGAACTGGGGTACAGGCCAGAAGTGTGGGGGGTGAGAGGATTCACTAGAGACAGAGTGGGGAACAGAACAGGCAGACTGATTGAAAGCAGATCCAGGGCCTCACTGGTAGTGCAAGGGTTTAAGTCAAAGCACTATGAGGCTATCAGCAGCCACTGTAGCATGAGTTCGATCCCTGGCCAGGGAGTTAAACCACATGGCACAGCAGACCTCTCCTGTCTCACCCACTGCTCCCCTCAGCAGTGTATTTCAGTAGATCTGCCTGTTCTGCTCCCCACTCTGTCTCTGGTGAATCATCTCATCCCCACCCCCTCCACTGCACCACTGGCCTACACCCAAGCCTTGTATGCATAAATAAATAAATCTTTAAACAAAAAAAGAAAGCAGATTCACTTTTTTTTTTTGAAAGCAGATTCACTTTTAACCTGATCCATATACTGTGTCTCCATAGTTAAAAGACAGTTGATAACTAATAATACTTTCAGCATGGAAAATGACAATATTTATATGGTCATCAAAGTAGAATGACAAGTTTGCCATGCCATTGGCAAAAACTGCCCATGGACTTTGGTTGCCCCAGTATCTAACAGACTACCTGGAAGGATCAATTGTTCAGCCCACCTGAACTCCTCCCAAGCACATCTGTATGCCTCCACTTACAAGATGGAAAATATTGTTCAAATATCCAAGAGGACCAATCCCCAAAATCATCAGAGTTAAAGGTAAAATACCTGTGTTAAAAGCCCTGTCTTGAATAGCCTGCAATTGGCAAGAGCAGTCTGCAAAGGCAAGAGAGGAACACTTGGTCTTGGGAACGAACTGACTCAGATAAGGCTGAGCCACTTACATTGACTCACTCAGAAGAGAGGGCTATAGTCACTATGTTTTACAAAGGGTAGGTTAATCCAGAAAATTAGTTTAAGTAAAGTTCAATTAAAGAACTTCTGTCAATGGTACCATATGTATGGGTAGAAGTGAAAGCTGACCTTACTTCTGGGATCTAGCACAAATAAGGGTCCCTGAAGGACCTCACTCTTTTTTAAGGGGAATTTTTTTTCAAATATTTATTTTTTTATGTATACAATAGCTGGGGTACAAGCCAGAGACACAGGAGGGTGAGAGGATTCACCAGAGACAGAGTGGGGAGAAGAACAGGCAGACAGACCAAAAGCACTGCTGAGGGGAGCAGCAGGCAAGACAGGAGAGGTCTACCGTGCCATGTGGGTATCTCCCCGGCCAGCCAGGAATAGAACCCATGCTTCAGAGGCTGTGGACAGCTTCATAGCGCTGTGCTCAACACGCTGTGCCACCAGGGAGGCCCGTTTAAGGTGAATTTGTACTTGATCACTGGAACTACAATTGCTGGAGATACCCAAATCAGGTTAAGTGTAGGGTCAGGAACACTTAACCAGCCATGAAGCAGAGGAGCACTTATTAAGACCCAGAACATATATCTTCTGTCCAACCGCTGGTCCTGAGAGGGAAGGAGCATAAGATACCCCGCAGAAAACTTTAAGAATAGGAAACGAATGACCTTGAAGAAAGTTACCATCATGATAAGGGACCCTGGGAAGAGGAGACCTAATTTGTAACATGGGTGAGGTAGAGCCGGGCTAAGCCTCTAAGGCTTTTTAGGCTCCATTTTAGACACAGTACTTCATAGCTATGCCCAGGCTGTTTCTCTTTCTCTCATAATAGCTAACATTTAAGATCACTTATAAATGGTAAACAGTCAGTTCACAAGCTTTATTCCATTTTATCCTCAGAGGGAGAGTTAAATGAGTCAATCCATGTAAAGCAGTTGAGGACAGTATCTCACATATAATAGGCACTCAATGTAAGCTAGCACAAACAAAAAAATACTCTGAGGTATACATCATATTATCCATGCTTAACATTTGAAACAACTGATGTTCAGAGAGGTGATAGGACTTACTTAATGTCAAAATGATAGTAAATGGAAAAGGTGAAATGTAGGCAGTACTACACTATTATTATCCCATGTACCCAATGAGCCAACTCACCCACCAACATGTTCCTGGACATCTACTCAGTCTCATGCACTTTGGATGTGAGATGATGAAGTCTCAGTTTCTGTCCTCAAGTAACCCAAAGTCTAATATTACAGGTTTTAGCTAGGTCTCAGTTTTGAGACAGAGTTACAGCTAGAGCGTCCTGATAGCAGTGTCTCAGAGCTCACAGCCCCTCTTTTCCACATTAAACCTCTGCTGTCTACGTAGAGTAGGCCCATGAGAAACCTAGTATAAATTAACACATGTATCACAGTGAAAAATAAAGATTTAGACCCACTTTTTGTTGTGGAAAAAGATATAAAAATTAGCATGGTGTCTGTACCATACTTTAAGCATACACAGGAAGACACTATTAATTCCACTTGGGACCAAGGAAATATAATAAATGGGGATAGATAGCATGGAGGGATTACCTTCTAGAATCTTATAGCAGGTGAGATAGAGCTCACTGGACAATGGAATGGACGTCAGTACTGGAACAGGAAAAGGAACAAAAAATGGACACAATCAGTGCTAAGCCCCCTAATTTCTATCTTTAGTACCAAAGAATAACAATGGGAGGAAAGTGCCAAGAAAGAGAAGGAAAAGGAAAGGGATTCTCAAGAGCAGAAAACCCAGAAGAAATGGAAAACATGAGACTGGGGAAGGATGCTTTGAGCCTAGGTGTCCTGGAAGCTAATACTGAGAGTTGGTGCTGGCAGAAGGGTTACAGGAGGAGGTCACAGCATCTCCAGGAGTTTGGTGAAGAAAATGAAATTGAGTGTAGTGCAGCTAAAAAGGGTCTGATTTAATTCTGCTGTAACTCCTCAGATGCACCCAGGAATTCTGGGGTCGAATCAAAGCTAGGTAAAAGGGGACTGGGTCAGTTAGCACAAACTAAGAGCACTTAGGCAGCCCAGAGAAAAATAGGGTTGCTGAGCTTCAGGGTCTTTGTTGTGGTTGGAGTGTTAAGGTGCAAGGGGGAAATGATAATAGATGAGGCTGCATACAAAGGAATGCCCAAGGGCAAATGCTAAAGGGTCTTACTACTACATAGGCCTTGGCAGCTGCTGCCTCATGGCCATGTTCTTTGGAGGAAAAGCACTTTTCATCCTTCCACTTATCTGCTATGTAGCAGAGGACACACAAGGAAATAGACAGTTCATTCCAGTATAAAATAACATATTTCAGCAACATTTTTCAGCAATATAAAACATAACTGACTATTGTCACCTGATTTTGGATTTGGGACATTTGGTTACAATCTTCATGTACTTCAATATAAAAAAAAAAAACTATGCAAATTGCACAGTTATTCCAACAGAAAAAAAGGAATGCAAACTTAATGAGCTGTACTCAGAGTGCTTAATGAAGTTGGCACTACAGATGATGAAGTCAGGAATGGAAACAGACCCATTAGGCTCACTTTCTCTGGTATGCCTCCCATCAGTTACAGCTGAAAATGATTGGCCATGACACCCCAGAAGCTCAAGGTACTGAACCTGGCTCTGGGGCTTTGAGATGCAAAATGATAGGCGGCTCAGGTGTGCGCTACTGGTAGATTTCATATGTGGGTTGCCACTGTGTACCTTGATTTGCACTGGCAGTGAGGACCCGTGATGCACTTGATTTGATACTTTGAAGACAAGGGCTTATTGAATCCATTGAGGTCAACATGTGAAGAGAAGAGAAGCAGAGTATCTATACTTCATGTGAGCATAAAGAACTAACCTCATGGGAAGTGCCAAATTGCCCAGGTATCTTGGGAGCTAAGGAGAGAAAGGGCAATAATATCAGATAGAGGTCTGAGTAGCAGGAGAGTGAGAAGTGAGATGAAAGACATACCAGCTTTTACATGGATATATTTAATTCAAGAGCTCTTAGAGGTCAAAAATCATTTTAGATGCACTTAGTAGCAATAAAGTCATCTTCAAAGAGCAAGCAATACTTATGTCACTTCCAAAAAAACCTTCTGTAGTGAAACATAGACATACTGAAACTCATGGACTTACTGTAATTCAAATACCCTTAGCTTTAGAGGGCAGAAGCTATTGAAGACAAAGAGAAAATGTGTTGTAAAGGTGAATTATGAGAATGTATTTGTAGAAATAGCTAATTATCATAGACAAAACAGGGTTTCCTCAAAGACTGGTCTTTTCCTGCCCTTGCTGGTACATGATGATGAGTCTATTAGTATGTGCATGAGAGCATCAAAAGAGGCCATCACCAGTCAGACCTGGTATTGAGCTTGCTAATTATTAATGAAATGAACTACCTAGGATGTTGGTCATATAAAAAAAAATACCAGGTAAATTGCAAAGATCATGCTATATATTCCTAGAATATTAAAGCAGAGTCCAAGTACTGGGGTTGAAAGTAATGTGAGGTATCAAACTACATAGTAATAGAGAAAATTTAGGGGGATCAAATGGTTAGTAGCTTCAAGTATCCCTGGGACACCCTGAACACATTGGATCCTCTGTCCTCATCTCCCAAATTCCTGCCTGTGCTGTGGGTCCCAGAGTTGTTTAGACTTACACATTGAACAATCAGTACAAGATCTACCTAGACCAGAATTTGCAAGATCAGTGTGATTCCTATAACTACCTGCCAAATGTGTGCATATATGTATTTCTCTGGAGAGAACTAATAGCTTTCATCTCATTCCTAAAGTGGACAAAGTTCCCTCCACCCTCCCCAGAAATGAAGAACCATTTCTAGACATGTTTTATTTACAAAGAGCAGTCACAGGGAAGTTTTCTGAATATTATCTTTTGCTATTATGTACATATCCATCAGTTCTAGACCTAAGCAATTGGGTGATATAAATGGAAACTTATTTTTGAGTGTGAAAACCTACAAACTGCTCAAACTGGTAGAGTTAGGGAGTTTGGCCAAATGACAATTCAGCTTACTGTCCAATATTGTGAACAGCCACTAACTTCACTGTGGGTACTAATTCCATGTTGTAAAATGGAAGGCTGTCTTTAAGCAATGTAAATTCATTAACTGTTTTGTGACCACAAAATATTGTAGATCAGAATTGATTGTACTTTTAGTTAATTAGACTTCTTTTAATGCCAGAAAGGAAATTAATTTTAATTAAAACCCATTGCGACTCTCTTTGTTCTGTCTCCTAAGGTAGGAATAATTCTACCAGTTGGCCTCTTGTTTAGGTGATTGCATCAAGACCATTAACCCATTCTTATTGCTTATATTATCAAAATTATACCGTTTGTGGGAGTATAAATTGGTGCAATCTTTGTGGGAAGCAATATGGATATTGTTTAAAAAATTAAAAATAGAAAATCTATACAATCCAGCTATCCCACTTCTGGGTATTTACCTCTCCCCCCCCCCAAAAAAAAAAAAGAAAACTAGTTAGAAGAGCTATTATGTGACCCATGTTTATTGCAGTACTATTTACAATAGCCAAGAACTGAAAACAATCTAAATACCCATCAATTGATGAAAATATAAAGAATATGTGTTATATATACACAATGGAATACTGTTCAGCTACAAAAAGGATGAAATCCTTCTATTTGCAACAACATGGATGAGCTTAGAGGGAATTATGCTTACTGAAATAAGTCAGACAGAAAAAGACAAACACCATTTCTATCAGTCATATGGTATATAATGAATTCCTGAAGCTTATATAATGTTATAATGCAATGTTACTTCAATAAACATATACAAAGATTATCAAAGTTATCAGCAGTTATTATCAGATAATATTGACAGAAAATCATGATTCCAAAATTCTCACTGGAAATGTATGGTTCATTTAAGAAACTGAATGGATAACGGATCCCCTGTTTTATAGATTGGAAGTTAAAGAGTAGAAATAACACACAAGAAAAAATTGGGGCTATGAAGAATATACATCTATCAGTGGAATGCATGCTTTCAGACAGGGACTCTTAATGGAAACCTCTGACTCAGTCAGCAATGAAAAGATGAAAGTACGCCTAACAGAGGGGACAGCTTATCACCTCTATTTCTCCAGTAATCTTGCCCACATGGAGAATAATAACCATCCCAGCATTACTTTTAAGTTAAAGAGAATAGGAGTCATAAGAAGAAAAAGATCAAAGTGCTGCCAGAGGTCCATATTGGCTTGTTCTTTGATTCTTTGTGGGCTGTCAACATTGCCATTAGCAATTCTTAGGACAGAAGCTTTCACAAGCACAGTAGGAAGAGCAAAGGTCCCTCTACACACTAGATGTGTTGTTGAGAAGTTAGTTATAACTCAAGGACTGAGAGTCAATGAGTCTATGAGCAGTTGCTTCTGCTAAAAGAATGGTTTGGCCTTTATTTATAAATATCTAGTATGGCCCTCATTTCAAAATTTATATATATGTGTGTAAAATATATATTATATAGAAAACATATATATTATACATAATATAATAATATACATAATATAATAATATTTATATTTATATTATAAATATAAATATATATTGAGTAGAATATAGAGAGCAAGTAGAATATACTGAGTAGAATATATATAGTACATATATATGATTGAGCTATTTTGCGCTATACATTTAATGGGAAAGTCTTGGGGTTGGTTCACAGGTTAATTAAAATTCCTAAAGTGTAGTTAGGTTCTGAGTTCAGAAAACTAGCATTTTCTAAAATTCCTAGTTCATTGAAATTTTTCATTTAATTTGCTTTGTAAATTAGATCCTATATCAAATGCTATTTAAAGGAAACCTCTGGGCAAGGAATCATCTTTTGTTAATTATCATGACAAGCACTCAAATTTCATGGTACTGTATATTCAGACTTTTGCTTATCAGGTTTTCTTGGGAATGGAGAGGCACATGGGTAATCGATTCAGGGAACTACTTCAGAGAGGCCCTTGCACTGCTAGTCATTATCCAGTAGCACTATTAGTTCTCCAAATTTGAGGGGAAGGGGTTAAAGAAAGATGCTGGTCCACAGGTAGATTTTCATTCTTAAATAGAAAAGAACATTTAAAAAATGCAGCAAAGGTCAACTAAAGGTCTTTGGTCCTATATCTCCTTCCTTAACTGAGAAAATTATTCTGGTCGGGGCCCATGGTTGGCTTTTAGCTCTGGAGGGCAGATGGGAGGATCAGAAGCGACAAAAACATTTGGATAATTTCAGAGACTTGAACAGAGGCAAAAAACGTGGAGAAAATCAAAAAATGCACATTCATTCCAGAGGTTATTGACAAGATTAATTACCTCATAACTGCTTTAATAAAATGACTCTAGGCATATTGCAACTATAATTATCCATAAAAATCCTAATGAATTCAATTTCTCCAGATATCACCCTGCTGCAACTGGTGAGTGTAGAAGACATAGGGGGTGGAGGCAGTCTAGCTCTTAGGGAGGGAAGGCAGAAGGGAAAAGGAGGAAGAGATGGTTGGTGCAACTAGGGAGTATCTAATTGGGTCAAGCGTGCAGGGTGAATGATGTTTAGTCTGGCTCATGCTTTGTGATGTTTCATATTGATCTATGGACCCTGTTTTTAGATGTCAGTGTTTCTGTTGAAAACAAGCCCAAACATCACTATTTCCCTTAACTCCCCCCACCCCATTGTTGTGTAGTGTATGCACGCACACATGTGCATGCACACTTATCTGTGTTCATGAATTTGGCTCAAATCCTCTTTACATAATGCACATAAGGAACAAGACCAACTCTCATCTTGTTCAAACTGGCACTGGTCAAACTGAGAGGAAGGAAATGTTGGTCTGTGGTTCTCTCTCCCCAGGCTTTCTACATCCTGCTACCTACTTGGGGACCTATTCCATTTCCAAGACCCTCAAGCTGCCTCTGGGATACTTAGGGCCCTATTCCAAACCCGTTCTCTCTGGGAAACATCCACTCAGGTGGCTCCTGCCTCTTTCTTCCTTATGCAAAATGTTCCCATCTGGGCCCTATTCCCACAAAATCTTGCTGTCACCGAGCTATCCTACTGAAAACATAATGACAGAAATGTTATTTAGACTGGAAGTCAGAGTGACTCTATACCATGTAATAGCCATAAAGTTTGGGGGCAAATATCTTAAGTTCTTTAAATTATATACAATAACCCAGTGACAAAAGCTCTGTGATTAATCAGGAAGATTAAGACACATGTTCAAGGTCATACAAAACAAAGTGATAGATCCAGGATACAAACCCAAATTTATCTGGCTCTGAGTCAAAGTTCTTTCCAGTGTTTATTCTAATTGTTTTTATTGTAATATGTCCTGTATTCCTAATAGCACTATAAACTTCCAAAGCGGAATGCATGTCTCATCAAACTTTTAGATCCTGCTTCCTCCACTGTAAAATCCAGTTTTTTATTTCAACGAAGTTGACTTTAACATTCACTGACTTGGATGGCATTGTTTGAATCAAGCCTAGAAAAATCATCCCTCAGGCAAAAGAGCACCAGTTCTCTCAATGTTAACTCACCAAAAGGTTTTCTTGCCCGGGACTTATCAGGTCTCTCATCATTTACTACCTTATGCCTCTCTCCTTTTGTACTTACCAGGCTGGGTGATAGAGGTGCAGTGAGGGGATGTTAAGGGCTTGAAGGGTCCTGCACTTTCAGGTTGAAGTTTTATTCATTCATTCAACACATCTTTACTGAGCACCATCAATGTGCCAAATATGTTTCTAGCTACCAGGGTTACAGACAAGACTGTCAAGCCTGGAACTGCACTCTCTTTATTAGTGTTCACTTATATAAGGATCACCTCTCTGCAGAAGGATAAAACTAAGCACACCCTTGAGGT